CACACCACATTCCCCACAATGAAAAATGGATTTTCCTGTTTCCAGAACACTTCCTGTGAACCTGCTAGATGCTTCATATGATCTTCTATCATAAGCACTCTTTTCCCCCATGAAAAATAAAGCCCTGGTACAGTATTATAAATTAGAAAATGCCTCCCAAATTTTTATCCCCCCCACCCCCATTTCTCACTTTTATGTAGACTGACAGTTCATAAATGTAACCATTAAAAAAGAGGAAAAAATATGTAATATCTTAATCAATAAAAAATATATTAAAAAAAAAGGAGGAAAAAACCCCAACTGGTTGATTCCTAATGTTTATCAGCGTAAACCCCCAAATGTGTAAATATCAATTTGTACATTTAAGTATTTTGTGACATAATCATATGTGAAAGCCACTTCTGGCAAGTGGACTTGCCCCTGTGAAATGAATCTGATGAGATGAAAGCATTCAAGTGGAAGCTGTGTAAAATTTACTCTGAAAATGTGCTAATACTAGACTGATTCTTTAAAAAAGAACTAATTGTAAATCTCATTTTGTCCTACTTGATTTTAATTATCTTAAAGAAGGTCCTGAGTTAATCATTTTGTGGATCTCTCTGTTTTTTATGTATAGTAAGATGTACATATTGAAAGAATTCCAAATGCTATGTCACATTATCAATTCCCTGATAAAATTAAACCCTCCACCTCAAAACAGAACTGAGGCTCTCCCTACAATTTACCTTCCTCTTCGTCATCTTCTGGAGGAGATGGTATCATTGAGCTCTGCGATCCAGACTGTGGCAGGCGAATGGAGGGGCTGGCTGTAGTTTTCCTCCTCTCTCTTTCTGACTCACTTTCCAAGCACACAACTTCATATAAAGTGTCAGTGTTGCTCTTTCTCTCCTTTTGCTTTATCTTGAAGATGAAAAATATTATTTTATTAAGTGGTAAGATTCTTTATTTTTTAAATTGAGTACTACTTCTGACTTCATACAGGATATAAGAATAAAAAAGTATTACTTCAAATAGCTATACTAAAGGTAGCCTTTTCTAAATAGAAAAGTATATGTTTAGATTTTAAAACCCTTAGGAAAATAGCATGTTTATCAAGCAGGGCTCTAGTTCTGCAATTTTATTTATTGTCTAGAACAGCGGTTCCCAACCTGTGGGTCACGACCCCTTTGGGGGTCGAACGACCCTTTCACAGGGATCGCCTAAGACCATCGGAAAACACATATATAATTATATTGTTTTTGTGATTAATCACTATGCTTTAATTATGTTCAATTTGAAATACATCCTGCATATCAGATATTTACATTACGATTCATAACAGTAGCAAAATTACAGTTATGAAGTAGCAACGAAAATAATTTTATGGTTGGGGGTCACCACAACATGAGGAACTGTATTAAAGGGTCACGGCATTAGGAAGATTGAGAACCACTGGTCTAGAAGATTATATCATCAAACATCTAACCAATATTTAGTAAGTGTGAACTAGAAATTTAACCATTCTGTGGCTTCCAAGTTACTTTAAGGTATCCTTCAAAGTTTCCCTTATAAAATTCTATATAAAAAAAATGTTTTAAAATATTCTAAAATAAAGTTTAGGACTAAGAAAGTCCTCTTATTTCTGTGTGTGTGTGTGTGTGTTTTTCCACTCCTTCAGCTTAACTGAAACAGTGTAGGAAACTTTTCTTTAACTGAAAGCTACAACTGGAGGCAGGAGGAGAGGTGAGTGGCAGAAAAAAGACTAATATTATCAACAAAATTTTGATAACTAAAAATTGGTTTGTATTTTGGTTTTACTTTGAGGTAAACATGTAACAGTTCAAGTGGACCTAAATTAAAATTAAGGACATGGGATAAAAAACTTTACCAGTACATATTTAAATATATTAAAATTGTGTATCACAACCAGTTTAGGGAGCTGGAAAAAAAAAAGGAGTGAAATACAGACCAATAGGACAAGGCAGAACCGTAGGAAAAGACATAAACAACTAGAAACGTGGCTACACCAAAGAGAAAGACATACACGCATAAAGTAAAAATACAGAAATTGGGGGGAGAGTAATAAGTTCATTAGGTACAGAAATGCCAGGCAGAACAGATTATATCATCTCAATGTTCATTTGGGTTCTTAAGAAAAATTAACCCATTCCAAGATAATGGCAACATGTCCTTTGAATATCATCCTGAAGCAATGTTTAATACAGAAGTTGGTAAACTTATCTGTAAAGGGCCAAATAGTAAATATTTTAGGCTATGTGGACCAATAGTCTTTGCCACAACTACTCAACTGTGTTATTACAGTGCAAAAGCAGCCAAAGACAGTGTGTGTGGCTGTGTTCTGAAAAAATTTTACAAAAACAAGCACCAAGCCAGATTTGACCCACAGACTGTATGTAGTTTGCACTTTTTTCCAACATGTCCACCCAATTTTGACTTAGCTACTTACTATTAAGGACCCAGACTCTGTGAAGTTATATATTATCCTGTAGATTTGTGTCCAGTAGATATGCAAATGATTTGTGTCCAACAGGAAAGATAACCCAAAGGTTACCTACAGCAGCGGTTGCCAACCTTTCAGACCTCACGGACCACCAGTGGTCCACAGACCACCGGTTGGCGACCGCTGCTCCAAAGGTTTCCTTAAAAACTAGCGGTGGCCAACCTTTCGGACCTCACAGACCACCCATGGTCCACGGACCACCAGTTGATGACCACTGACCTACAGGATATTCACCAGTTTTCTTTTTAACCTAGCACAACCTTTTTCTAATTCTCTTTTTAAAGGAAGGACTACTAGATAAACTCAAGTTCCTCAAAACTTAGAACCAGTTTTACCGTCTTGTTTCCCTCATTACTTAATGAACTGAATTAAAATCTTTGGCACATGTTCAATTTAAATTTGGAATTATTTTTAACTTTTATATATTTTGATAGGAAACAGGATTTACTTTTGTTGTTATAAGTAACTCTAAAACATTAGTTAATTGTTATTTGAAACAGCTGAATGAGCTATTAATGATCATTAGCAGTGGAAGAGCTCTCGAATAGCAAGCATTTTCCTATTTTTTATCTTGAGAGGTACAGTGGTTTAGTGTGTATGTGTGCATGTGGCTATATATACATGTACACAGCAAACAGAAATAAGAGGCCCAGGATTCCAGTATAATTATACTAATTACTTGACTATAGGCATTGGCCACATCATTTAGTCTTTCAGGCATCAGTTTATCAATTTATAAATAATTTTATAAGAGATTCTAAAGTCTCTTTGGCAATTAAAGTTCCATAATTCCATAGTTTTAAGAATGCTTAGTTGGCCTTTTATTCACCTTATGTAACTGTTGGAAAACCTAGTCTTTAGACCAATTTCTTCCTCTTTTAGTAAATGATATCTGAAAGTTTAAATCTAAAAAAGCAATCTTTCTTTCCCTAATATGTTTCTTCTCTAATATGATGCCATCTTAATATAACATTCCCCACAGTTGGGAAGACTTCCAGCCTAAAAAAGAATTACTGAGTCATCAGATAAATTTAGTAAAAGAAAAGAAGATTCCATTTATAAACATGCATTTTTTAAAGCATTTCTATGATTGTTTTCCCATACAGCAATATAAACAACATATATGTTTTTTAAATTTGGCCTGCTGTTCCTTTCTAATGAGAACTGCAAAGTACTTAAAAATTTAAATTGTGCCTGGCCGATATGGCTCAGTGGTTGAGCATCAACCCATAAACCAAGAGGTCACCAGTTCTACTCCCGGTCAGGGCACATGCCCAGAGGTTTTGGGTTGATTCCCAGTGTGGGGGTTTGCAGGAAGCAGCCAATCAATTATTTTTCTCTCATCGATGTTTCTCTCTCTCCCTTCCTTGCTCTCTAAAATTCAATAAAAAGTAAAATATATTTTTAAATGATATATTTAGCAAAAAAAAAAAAAATTAATTATGCTTAACTTGATTTAAGTAAATACTAAAAATACTCTTACAGAAAGACAAAAGGAACACATCGCAATCAAGAAAGAGCCCTGATTAAGGCTCCTAGAAAGCTTAGGTATGTATCTTTTTCACACGACACCCCATAAAATCTACTATTTTACATATTTGGATCTATAAAATGAGAATACTGTCTTCATTGGATCACTAAGAAAATTACATAAGACAGAAAAAATGAAAGTAGCTAGTAGAGTGATGACCACAATATATTAAGATGGCATCAATTTATGGTAGCTGCTGTTACTTTTCTCTTTTCCTTTTTTAAGAGAATTTTATTTACTTATTTTTTTAATGGAAACATCTTTTTTAAAAAAATAATTATTTTAGAGATAGGAAGGGGGAGAGGGAAAGGGAAAAAGGGAACGAGGGAGAAAAGGAGAGAGGGGGTGGGAAGAGAGAGAGAGATTCGCGCATTCATTGGTTGAATCTTTGTATGAGCCCTAACCTGGGATAGAACCCACAACCTTGACCTATCTGGACGATGCTTTAACCAACTTAGCTACCCGCCCAGGGCTAAATTTTATTTTTCAATTATAGTTTACACTCAATATTATTTTGTATAGTTTCATGGGTAGAGGATAGTGGTTAGATAAACATATACTTTACAATGTTCCCCTGATATTTCCAGTACCCAGCACTTTATGAGGAAAAACTCTCAACCCAGCATCCTATATCCAGGGAAAATATCTTACTGGAATGAAAGTGAAATAAAGGGAAACTTGGTTCTTCAAGAAGAAATGAAGAGCAACAAAATTGATAAATGGGTAAAAATAAAAGATAATTTTTCCTCTTAATACATTTAACATATATATGATCTAAGTGATACTCAGATTAATGATAAATCAGACTCAAAGTGGTTTCTCCTTTCTTATTTCCTCCCCACCCCCACTCCAATATTTATAGAAAGGTATGATACCTGTTTTAGTTTCAAAAAGAAATTTTCAGTAGTACTACGTTTGCTGAAGGGCCAGAATAACCTTTCATTAGGTGAGCAAACCCGGACTTTGGTTTCTAGAAGAAATCGAACAGGCTCCTGTACTTCTGTTATTACCAAATCAACAGCTGTAGTCATAAACAACACTTTATCTAGAGAGGGGGAAAAGCAAATTTAAGAAATAGAAATATATTTTTCATATGATAATGTAAAAGTAATTACTTTTATTATGAACTTTTAAGATATCTTAAGGTATTCCATTAACTAAGAATCTAAAATAACCAGATAATTTACTGTTTTGAAAATTTATATTCCATATTGAGAATTCTTTTCTTGGGTAGATTCTTTAAAGTGGAATTAGTACAGAAGAGCAGTATACACTTTACAGCTAATGAAATGTACTGTCAAACTGTTTTACAATAGTGATATATGTCTTCTTTATGCCACTCTCACCAAGGCTAGGGTTTCTAAACTTCTAAAATCTTGGTTAACAATGGTAACTGTTTATATCCTTTATCCATTTACCTATAATCCTATGAATAATAAGAAAAAATAAAGGGGGAAAATGCTATATAAGAGGGACTAGTTAAGCAAATAATGTTACATTTTCAGGATATGACATTATCCAACCATTAAATGACTTTTGGTGAAGGTGCACACTTGAAACCTAATGACCAATGTCACCTCAATAAATTAAACAAAAGACACTTGGGAAGAGTATGAAATATGTTTAAAAGGTTATTTATGCACAGAATATCTGAAAAGCTACACAAGAAACTGGTCACACTGGTACCCTATAGAGTACGACCCTGGGGACTGTGGTAGATTTTTACTTTTCTCTATATAGAATGTCCCCCCAAAATGTATACACACACTTTGAATAATTATAAAGGCAGTGATTAAAATATATTTCATTTTCAAAATTGAGCTATCAGCTGTTAAAGTGGATATACATTTTGGGGGATACCCTGTATATCCTCTGAATTTTTAACCACATGTGCCTGTATTATCTCTCCACAAAAGTAAATAAAATTTAAACGCCTATAAATAAATGAGTACATAAGTAGAAAAGGAAGCAGGGAAAGGAAAAATAAGTGAAGGAAAAATGATACTTTATTTACACATCAAATTTAATAATAAAGAACTATTAAAATTCTTTGGTTTCACTAGAATTAGGTAAGCACTGGATACTTGTCAAATAAGTGGTCCTAAGGTTTGGGTATCTTTGTGGGACTAAAATTCTATCCATAATGATTGCAATCTTCATTACCTTTAGGAGTTTCTTCATTTACAACTTGAAAATGTGGAGATTTTGGATTCCAACTCCCAGTGATAACATAAGACTTTCCATCTGAACTTTTGCCCATAGATTCCTAAAGAAAAGAGTAAAACAAACATTAATGCCAAAGTAAGGAAACAACAGCGAACCCCCACTTTGCTGCCTTTAAAAATATAAGAATAAGAAAGAGAATCAAAGAGGTTTTTTTAATGGTAGAAGTGTATTTGAATAATTACAGTTAAAATTAAAGATGTTCCAATAATTTGTGCAATTGTTCCTGAAAACGTATACATAAATGCCATAAATCGTATCAACCTGTATAAACATTAGAGAAATTTATTACCTAAACCTGTATGTTGAATTCTTCTGTCAAATGAATAATTACTACATACATTTTAGAATTGAAAATATTACATATAATAGAACTAATACTAATACTACCTACTTTTATAAAGCTCATGATAGTTTGCAAACAATTCTCTCACTTTTCTTCATTGATTCCCACATCAACTCTACATGATAAACAAAAATTATTCACTAATACAGTTAAGAAGCTAGTAAATATCAAGTCAGAAATAAATGTCCGTATCATTATTGCTTTACAGCTTACAAGAACACCTCATAAATGTGCTTTAATTTTAGATTCAGATAAGATAAAGTGAAACAATCTTTATTGAAGAAATAGTGTATAACTTAAAAAAAGAAAAAAAATCCTTACCAAATCTAATAAGTGCATGTCACTATTTCGTACATCCTTTCCTGGGCTAAGGAGAAGACCAAAACACCTGCAAAGAAAGAACTGACATAAATTTGGAAAAAAGAACACAAAAAAGATGTTTAAAAAAATTCTTACTGGTGGAGAAAAAGGACACACTAAAATTAACAATAAATTACTATTGCCAAAATAATCCCCCTTACTTCATTAATTCAGAGAAGCATATTCTATGTTTGCCTTCTATTATCACATAAAGTAAGCATACTTATGAATGATTTATGGAAGTTATTTCAAAGTGAATGAAATAGGCTCTGGCCAGGTAGCTCAGTTGGTTAAGAGTATTGTCCTAATATGCCAAAGTTGCAAGTTCGATCCCTGGTCAGGGCACGTAGAAGAAGCAACCAATGAGTAAGTGGAATAATACCCCCCCTCCACACCTTCCTCTCTTCCTCTCTAAAAATTAAAAGAAAAATTTAATTACAAAAAAATCAAAGTGAATAACCAAAAGAATTTCCATGGGTATAAAACATTTGCAAATATCTATTTTTTCTCATTGAAGTATAAATTTTTAGAGAGAGAAGGGAGGAAGAGAGGGAGGGAGGGAGGGAGGGCGAGAGAGGGGGAGTGAAACAGAGAGAGACAGAGAGAAACATCTATAGGCAGCCCACCCAGGGATCAAACCAAAACCATTTGGTGTATGGGGACAACACGTCAACCCACTGAGCCATCCAGACAGGATGCAAATACATTTTTGAATACAGTATGTTACTCCACTAGATTGATAAAAACTGAAGTTAATATTTAAGCTAAATTTACAAGAAATGCTTACCTTTCAATGGCAAGTTCTTTATTAGTTGTTTGTTGCACATAGATGACAATCTTTTTATCAATTCCTTGGCGTAGTTTAAAGCATTGTCTGTCCTTATCTTTAGGAACTGCACTGTAGAACAACGTAATTCATTACTTTTGCAAAGTATTTTCTTGTGACATATACCAGAACACTTTTTGTTATATTACGAAAACCAGGTACAAGAAAGAATCACAGATTCTATTCTTTTTTTGCGTCTGGTTTTCATATCATAACAGATTTTTCTAGACTCCTTTACTAAAATTCACCGATTTTTTAAATCTGTGTTATAAAATGTCCTTAAATTGGTTATTATGTAAATGTAGAGAAGCTTCAAGCTAATTTTATTTCTTCATAGCTACCTTTTAGTTTGAGTAGATATTAAGAACTCTCATGTAGCCTTTTATAGTATCTCCTACTAGTTCTGTTGCCATTAACTTCAAGTTTACAGTAATAGACAATTTAGATTTACTGCATATTGGCTGCATCTGCCCCTTGATGTGAAAATAACATCATTACTGTATACTGTATGTAATCCACTAAATTATAAAAGCTAGTTTGTTCCTGTAAAAATTAAGTATTTATAAAGCACCTAGCATCCAGCACACAGCTGCTCAAAAAAAAGTTAAGTTTTCTTTCCTTTCTTTTTAGTCACTGGTTTTGACAAATAAATTTGACAAATATTATTGCCTTATTTGTTTAAATATGTAGGAAAATATACTTAATCATAGATTCTTTGAAGTTCGAATCAAGGCGCTTTCAAAAAATCAGAGAAGAAGATGATATGGCCAACAGGAAGATGTTGCCTATCACTTCCTTAGGCAGTGATAAGCTAATTGTATACCTGTTTAATACAGGCATAGATCATTTTATTGCACGTTGCTTTATTGTGCTTTGAGATAATGCATTTTGAAGTTTTGTGGCAACCCTGCATCAAGCAATTCTATTGGCACCATTTTTCCAAAAACACTTGTTTACTTTGTATCTCTCTGTGTCCCATTCTGGTAACTCTTGAAACATTTCAAATTTTTCATTATTATTATATTTGTTATGGTGACCTGTGATTAGAAATCTTTGATGTTACTAATGTAATTGTTTTGGGACACCACAAACTGCACCCGTATCAGATGGTAAACTTAATCGATAAATGTTACGTGTTCTCACTGCTCCACCAACTGGCCATTCCTGTCAGAACTCCCTATTTCCTGAAACACATATTGAAAGTAGTCCAATTAAGGACCCTATGGTGGCCTCTAAGTGTTCAAGTAAAAGGAAGAGTCACAATCTCTCACCTTAACTCAAAAGCTCTAAATATGACACTTAGTGAAGAAGGCACATTGAAAGCAGAGACAGGCTAACAGCTAGGCCTCTTGCACCCAACAGCTAGCCAAGTTATCAATGCAAAGGAAACATTCCTAAAATAAATTAACAGTGCTACTCCACATTAATGATAAGAGAGCAAAACAGCCTTATTGCTGATATGGAGAAAGTTTAGGGGGTCTAGATAAAAGATTAACCAACCACAACATTCCCTGAAGCCAAAGCCTAATCCCAAGCAAGGCGTTAACTTTGTTCAAATCTATAAAGGCTTACAGAGGTAAGAAAGCTTTAGAAAAAAAGTCTGAAGCCAGCAGAGGTTGATTCATGAGGTTTAAGGAAAGAAGCCATCTCCTTAATAAAAGTGCAAGATGAAGTAGCAAATGCTGTTGTAAAAGTTGCAAGTTATCCAGAAGATCTAGCTAAGATAATTAAGGAAGGTAGCTCCACTGATGAACAGATTTTCAATGAAGATGAAACAGCCTTATATTGGAAGAAGGTGCCATCTAGGGCTTTCATAGTTAAAGACGAGAAATCAATGTCTGGCTTCAAAGCTTCGAAAGACAGGCTGACTCTCTTGTTAGGGGCTAATGCAGTTGATGACTTCAAGTTGAAGCCAATGCTCATTTCCATTCCAAAAACCTTAGGGCCCTTAAGAATTATGCTAGCTCTGGCTAATCTGGCTCATTTGGTTGGAGCATCATCCCATGCACCTAAAGGTCACATGTTAGATGCCCACTAAGGGCACATACTCAGGTTGCAGATCCAATCCTCAGTCAGGGTGCCTACAAGAGGCAACAGATCCATGTTTCTCTCTCACATCAAAGCCCCCCCCCCCCTTCCTCTGTACTCTATACATAAAACAACAAAACCTAGAGAACAACCTATTTGGTTACAACAGAGTTTAATGATTATTTTAAGTCCACTGGTGAGATATCCTGCTCAGAAAAAAGATTCCTTTCAAAATATTACTGGTCACCCAAGAGCTCTGATGGAAATGTACAATGAGATTAATGTTTTCATGCCTATTAACACAACATCCATTCTTCAGTCCATGGATCAAGGAGTTATTTCAACTTTTAAATCTTATGATTTAAGGAAACACATTTTGTAAGACTATACCTGCCAGACAGTGATTCCTCTAGTGCACTGGTTCTCAACCTTCTGGCCCTTTAAATACAGTTCCTCATATTGTGACCCAACCATAAAATTATTTTCGTTGCTACTTCATAACTGTAAATGTTGCTACTGTTATGAATCGTAATGTAAATATCTGATATGCAGGATGGTCTTAGGCGACCCCTGTGAAAGGGTCCTTCAACTGCCACAAGGGTCACGACCCACAGGTTGAGAACCACTGCTCTAATGGATCTGGGCAAAGTAAATTGAAAACCTTATGGAAAGTTCACCATTCTAGATTCATTAATAACATTCATGATTCAAGGGAAGAGGTCAAAATATCAATGTTAACAGGAGTATGAAAAAAATTAATTACAACTTTCCTGGATGACTTTGAGGGGTTCAAGATTTCAACGGAGAAGATAACTGCAGATGTGGTGGAAATAGCAAGAGAATTAGTATTAGAAGTGGAGCCTAAAGATGTGGCTGAATTGCTGCAATCTCATAATAAAACTTTAACCGATAAGTAATTGCTTCTTATGGGTGAGCAAAGAAAGTGGTTTCTTGAGATAGAAACTACTCCTGGTGAAGATGCTGTGAAAACTGTTGAAATGACAACGAAGGATTTAGAATCCTATCTAATAAAGAGGGAATATGTAAATTGACCATCACTAGAGAGAAACCAAGATGGAGGCATAGGTAAACACCTGAAATTGCTGCCTCGCACAACCACTTCAAAAATACAACTAAAAGACAAAACAGACATCATCCAGAACCACAGGAAGGCTGGCTGAGTGGAAATTCTACAACTAGAAGGAAAGAGAAAAGCACACTGAGACTCAGAGGAGGTGCGGAAGTGCAGAAGTACGGAGGCTCGAGCGTGCACGGAAAGGGGCTGGCAACGGAGGACGCCAGTGTCTTTTGCAATTGGGAGGGAGGCACAAGCTCCCGACGGTCCTGACTCCAGTTCCGGGCAACTCTCTGGGGACCCAGACTCATACGGGGAGAAACTGGACTGTCTGGCAGTGGGCAAACTCAAGGGCGGCTTTCTCTTAGAGGTGCTTGCAGGGATTACCAGGACACTGAGACCCGGGACCTCTTAGGACAGGACTGAGGATCAGCCATAGCTGTTTGCTCCGCCCTGTTGATTTCCTGAGTCCCTGCCCCACCCAAGCTGCTAGCAGAGGCTTTTGCATATGAATGAGCTGGCCATTTGAGATCTAAAATTACCTAACAAACTGCAGCTGGGTCAGAAAGACCCAGAACATCCAAAAGAAGGCCCACCCAAGGCCCCACAGCAGGTTGAATTGCTTCACAGCTGGGCCTCATCTGGGCACCTCCAAAACCCAAACAAAGAAGGGGAATCTGCAGATCTCTCCGTAACTCCTGCTGGGTAGCCTCAGGCAGAGGCTAAATTAGCACCTCCTTAGAGATCCAAGAGCCTGTGTACCCAGTGGTCAGATTGGGACCATCCAGATTACAACTCCTCAGATCCATAAGGGACACACTCAGGGGGCAGACTCAGTGAGCACCAAAGCCCCACTGAAGCAAGTCTTGTCCCATAAGGGTGTCTCCAGCTCAGAAGTTCTCCCACTGCAGACACAGCTGATTCTCACAGCCAATTGGCCTGGAGGTCAATTCCTCCCAGTGATACCAACTACAATCAAGGCTTAACTACAAGACTGTGCACACAGCCCACAAAGGGGTGCACCAAGAGTGTCCACCTCAGGTAATTGGGGAGGCTGAGCCACTGGGCCCTATAGGACACCTAGCACACAAAGCCACTCTATCAACACAGGGAAGCATAAAAAATGCAGACAAACTGTTGGGGGCCAGATGTAAGCTGGCAAGGTCCTTGCACCTGTAGGGGCTAGCAAGGCTGGGACCCTTACCCACACAGTTTTCCCAGACTTGTTTGGATGGCAATTATCAGTAGAATGAGAGTAACATTTGTAGAATGAGAACAGCCTTTCATAGCTTACCAAGAAGTCTGTAACTATTTACTGAGATATGCTGTACTGAGAACTTGTCCTTCTGCTGTGTCCCTCCCTTAGAGATTAAGAGGAACAAAGAATACATTCCTCTTGACAGACCTCCAATTCAGTGTGTTGTGTATAAATAGGATTGTATAGCTAATAAACTCGCTTCAGTTCATCAAGAGAACTGGGGTCCTCCCGACCCCGCTTTCCTGTCTTTCTTTCTTTTCTCAATTCCCACCTCCCTGCCTCAGCCCGGCTCAACCCTGTCAGGCTGGCCCTGACGACAAAGAAACAGATCACAAATGACAGAAATAGAGGAAAGCAAACCACTGGATATAGAGTTCAAAACCACGGTTATAAGGTTTTTCAAGAATTTTCTAGAAACCGCCGATAAATTTAGTGAGACCATCGAGGATATGAAAAAGGACCAACTAGAAATTAAGCATACACTGACTGAAATAAAGAATAATATACAGAAATCCAACAGCAGACAAGAAGATCCCAAGAATCAAGTCAAAGATTTGAAATACGAAGAAGTAAAAAACACCCAACCGGAAAAGCAAAAAGAAAAAAGAATCCAAAAATATCAAGATAGTGTAAGGAGCCTCTGGGACAATTTCAAGCGTACCAACATCGAATTTATAGGGGTGCCAGAAGAAGAGAGAGCGCAAGATATTG